AAAAGTCCACTTCCAATCATTTTAGTTAGTAGCAAGTGCTTACCGAATGCCTGCTGTTTCCCAGCACTCTGATGCTGTCTGTCTGTGTCAGGCTTGGGAAACGACATTCCTTTCTCCTGCTGTGGAAGTCTGAGTCCTCATCTTTCCCCAACACTAGTTCATCGGGAGCCTCCCATTCAAAATGAAGGCACACCAGTGTGTGATTTGCACCGTGATGTAACGTGGAATCCCCACTCATCAGACCCTGTAAAGGAAATGCATATGTAAGTCTAGCCATGCCTTTAGTGACATAAAATACACGCACACATTTTTCAGAACTTGAAGGGTTCTTTGTTTGTTTTTTGAGACAGGGTTTCTCAGTATAGTTTGGAGCCTGTCCTGGAACTAGCTCTGTGCTAGGCTGGCCTTGAACTCACAGAGATCCCCTGCCTCTGCTTCTTGGGTGCTGGGATTAAGGAGTGTGCCACCACTGCCTGGCTAAAACTTGACATTTTAATATTATGAAAGGTTTCGTACTGTAAAAAATCCCAGAGACTAAAAGTATAAAGGTACTCTTACTCATCTCTTTTATTAATCTGCCGTATTTGCTCCATGCAGTTTATGTCTATGAGCTAGGCTGACCTTGAGCATAGATCCTCTGGCCTCTCCTTCCCAAGAGCTAGGATAATGGGCATGTGCCTGATAATGATGCCATGTCTTCTCTGCCTCCTCCTTCCCCTTTTCCTCCCTTTCCCCCTCCCGCCTCTTCTTCTTTGCACTCATGATCCAAGAGTCCCAATCACTCCTCCTCCACGCCTTCCTTTCCTTCTCTCTTTAGGGTGAACATCTATCTTATTCCTCTGGTTCCCATTAAAATTTCGTTAGGGGTAACCCTTACAGACGGGTTTGCAGTTCCCTTTTTCGCTCAACATTGTGTTAGGAGCTGGCCACATGGATGCACGAATTGGTACTCCATTGCTTGGAGCCACTGTTTGAATTCTATCATATGCCTGTGCCACTATTCTCTCCCAGAATCGTATCTCTTTTGAGGGGTGGCCGTGGTTAATCTTGTCAACCCTGAGTGTGTCTTCTGGTGTCTCCAGAGAGGGTTAACTAAAAAGGAACTGGTCCTCATTGCACACACTGGGGGTTTTACTGAAACCAAAGGGGAAAGGAGAGCGCAGCTAAGACAGATGCACACTGTCTGTGGCACTGTGGCCTTCCTCACACCGTCCTATGGGGACCTTCTGAAGGCCTGAGCCAAATACATTTCTCCTCCTTCGTCTCCCTACCTCCATGTTTACGTCAGACTTTTGTTTTAGGGAGGGCACGCAAACACAAGTGTCACTTAGCTTGTTTGCAGTATTTTGCCCTGATAATAAGAACAAGCCCGCTATTCCTCTGGCCCAACTGGGCTCCAACTTCAAAATAAAGTCTCTTAAATCTGAACACTTTCTCTGTGCTCTACAGTGACCATTAGTATCTTAAGCCTCCCAGCTCTTACCCCTTCCTGGCCAATCCTCCATCTACACCATCCATGGGATCAGATTGGGGCCCCAGTCTGTAAATCCATCAGCATCTTCCCATCATGCCTGGAATAAAGGCAGAGCTCTTTCATAGCTAGGAAGCTGCAAATGTCTAGCAAATGTCTACTTTCTCTCTCTTTCTCATTCTCAGTCGTACAGACGGGGTTTCCTGCTTTGTAGCCTTGAGACCAGATGCCACCTGCCTGAAACCAGTACCTCCTCTCTTCCTGTGGCGTCCCTGACTGCTCAGGCTCCTGGTTGCGTAGTACCTGGTTGTATAACTTCCACAGCGGTAAGCATCCTTTATTTCCTACCTTCTGCTTTTCCCTTTGCTTTTATCTTTCTTACAATGATTACACCAGAAACTCTCTCGTGTACTCCAGCTCCTCCATCAGAATGTAAACTCTCTGGCCCTCGTATCCCCAGTACTCAGAACAGCACCTGCTGCACTAGCCCTCCAACACTGTTAGGGGCAGGGCCTTGAAAGCCCCTGATGGTGAAGCCTGCACACACACACACAAGCACATTACAATTGTTTCGTCAAGGAAACAATACCCACCCTTCCTGTGCTCACATTCTATTTCATTGAGAAAGAAACAGAGGAACGTAGGAGAACAAACACTATCTACCAAGTAGTTGAAATTGTTGTGGTCATGGGAGCCAGAGTGGGGTTGGTGCAGGGGCCTGGAGGGAGAGGTAAGTGGGGAGTCACTAATCCAGTGACCATCCAGGGAAACAAGTTGAACTGATCCTAAAAGGTTGCTGTTTCAACACTGTCAACAACACCATAGACTCTATTTTCAAATTCTAAGTAGAGACTGTATCAATTAGTCTTGCCAATAACAATATAATTACTAAATTAATGTATTTACAAGCTCACACACCAAAATAGAAGAAAATATGCTGGTTGAAGCCCAATGAATTGACGCCATAATCTACCTACAGGTCTGAACCTGCAGCAGAAACCATTCCTCTAGTGCACCTGTCTTGAAGTGGTTTTGTTCTTGAGTTGTTCTCCAGTAAGTGGAATCCACAGTACTAATGTTTTTGTAAGAACTGATCTATTCTTACTTAATGCTTGTTCTCAGCAGGCAACTTTTTCTCTCTGGTAGCAAAATTATATTTCTATGTCTCATGTGCATTTTCCTGATCACTAATAAGATTAGCAGTCTTTAAAAAAGACGCAAAAAGATACTTTACCCAAACAAAACAAAACAAAACCCTGTAAACCCAGCCAGGTGGTGGGGAATGCTTTAAATTTCAGCACTTGGGAGGCAGAGGCAGGCAGATCTCTGTGCGTTTGGGGTGTGGTCTACAGAGCTAGTTCCAGGACAGCCAGGCCTATACAGAGAACCCCTGTCTAGAAAAACCAAACCAAACCAAACCAAACCAAACCAAAAAACAACAACAACAAAACAAAAAAACAAAGAAGGAACAAAAAAAGAAACATGTAAACCAAATTTTTTGGCTTTTTGAGACTGGGTTTCTCTGTATAGTCCTAGCTGTCATGGAACTTGCTCTGTAGACCTGGCTGGCTTTGAACTCACAGAGATCGCCCTGCCTCTGCCTCCCAAGTGCTCAGATTAAATGTGTGCCCCACCACCTGCTGCCACCACCACTACCCCACTTCTAAATTTGAGATAAAGAATGCTGTTGGGTGACAGTGACACACACCTTTAATCCCAGAACTCGGGAGGCAGAGGCAGGAGGATTTCTGTGAGTTTGAGGCCAGTCTTATCTACAAGAGGTAGTTCCAGGACAGCCAGGGCTGTTACACAGAGAAGCCCTGTCTCCAGATAAATAAATAAATAAATAAAAAGACTAAGAATGCTTTTATCAGAACTTTAACAGGCAAAGCGACTTGGATGTTCCCTTCATTCTGTGACCCCACGTGTTCTGTTTTACTTGCACAGAACTATATTCACAAGAACACTGCAGAAGGATAGTTTTATCTCATCGTTCACTTAGTTGTTTATTTGACCGACAAATGTTGATTGAGGACCTGGCTGCTACCAGGAATTTTGCTAAACAAACCAAACGCTGATTCTGGAGTTCTTTGTCTCTTGCACAGATGGAGGGTGACCTTTTGGCAGCTTCTTCCCATCCGTTGTCTTCCCACGTTATTTATTTATAAGGTTTTATGGTCAATATCTAGAGAAAACTGTATGTGCACATGCACGCATGTTTCCATGCTCTGTTCACAGCCATGGACTGTGGTGGCATCATACCAAAGGAAAGTTTTGAAATGAGGGAAAATGCTTTCACTTCAAGCACTGTTTTAAATCTATGATTATAATTAAAGGCTTTTTTTTTTTTTTTTAAGGCATCACAGTTTATTCGGTTCTTTCTTCTTTAAGCGAGTGTTTTTTTTTTTTTTTGCCCTTTAAAAGAGGGAAGCCTGTCTGGAAGATGGTGGCTCCCGCCTTTAATCCCAGAACTCTTTATCCCAGCACTTGCAAGGCAGAGGGAGGCGGATCTCTGTGAGTTTTAAGACAGCCTGGTCTCTGTGAGTTCGAGACCAGCCTGGTCTACAGAGCTAGTTCCAGGACAGGCTCCAAAACCACAGAGAAACCCTGTCTCGAAAAACCAAAAAAAAAAAAAAAAAAAAAAAAAAAAAAAAAAAAAAAGACAGCCTGGTCTACAAGAACTAGTTTCAGGACAGGCTCCAAAGCTAGAGAAACCCTGTCTTGAAAAAAAAAAACAAAAAGAGGGAAGCCTCACTTATTTTATTGGTGTGGCTGGTTTGACAGGAAGGGTTATGAAAAACAGGTCTTCTTTCAAACTAACCCGGGTAGTTTCCAATTTTACCTGAAGCAGCTTGTATCTCAGAAAGATAAATCTCTAAAGACTTTTACCCTCCAGGTAAGTCTTTTTGGACCTGCAAGGAATGTTTGCTACTTTAAAACCCATGAGTCAAGGGTCAAACAGTCGACTTCAGAATCTTTCTGGAAGCACCAAGACTTAACACAGCTAAAGACTTCAGACAGATAATGGTGTGGTTTGCTAGATAAGAGGTGCTACGCCCGGGATAAATCAGCTAGTTGTGGGTGGTGTCGCTGCTGGCTTCTTTGACATTTGTCCATTTTTAAAAGATTAAACCACAGCAGAAAAGAGAACGCCGGGGTTGGCTCTGCACGCAGTCTTTGCCAGCCCTCCCCTCCCTCGTGGCGCTTGCAAATCAGCGGGCCAGTTCCAGGACCACGGCAGTCACTTTCGCGCCACTTTCTCAGGACCGCGCAGCTTCATAAAGAAAAGGCAGCAATAAGTCCCCCAAATGCCATGTTTCAAAGCGCATTCAGCAGTTCCCGAGGACACTAGAGATTACGATGGTCGAAACCGCTTCGGTATTTTTCCCCCCGGGACTTGGGCTCTACGGACGCTGAGAGAGTAGTCATCTTAGCTGGCAGGACCTGTGAGCCGGCGCGGGAAAGTCGGCGGCCCCGCCCCTCCGGCGGCAGAGTGCGCGCCCCTCCTCTGCCCCGGAGCTCCCTCTGCTCCGCCTGCAAGTGCTTTTGGGCTCCCGAAGACCTGTCCCCGCTTGGTACCCGCCGCCAGCATGGAGGCTCGCCGCACGCGGGTGAGGCCCGGCCGGGTGCACTGGGGCGGAGTTGGTGGGTGGCTGGACGCCGGCGGGCAGGGGCCACTTCCCTCCGACTCCGCGGGTGAGCGCCACACTCTTGTCCCACGGTGCTTCTGTTCGTCGCCAGGTTGGGGGAAGTCACGATTGCTTTTCTTATAATCTTTGCACCCAGGATAACTCTGGGCTAAGGTGATGCGCCTGCCGGCGGCGTGCACGGGGTTGGCAGTGCTGGAGGAGCCTACGGTAGGTGCGCTCGTGCTACACGTGCGCGCCGGAGGCGGCGCGGGGGGGGGGGGGCGCTGGTGGCTGGTGGTGGTGTCCGGCGGACGAATCCCCAGCCTTTCCGTCCCCTGGGACTTAGCTCTGCATTACTTGCTCACGACGGGTGCGTGACTTTTCACGCGTGCACCGGTGGCCCTGGAACCCGCTTCCTCTGCTCTGAGGCCCCTTCAACCACTCTGGATCTGTGGGTTTAGGATTGAAGGCCTTGTGAACATCTCTTGAGAACTTGGGTTGTGCACGTGGGGGAAGGTATTGTTTTAGTCCTAGGCTGTGACTGAGCCCAGTTCAAGGGTCTGGCGGTGCAAGCCGTGTATCACGGCGGTTTAAAGTGTGCTTCCTTGTCCCCTCCTCCCCACCCCTTTTCTACCTCACTGCAGCTGCGAACTGCCCCGAGTGGAACGTTACTTTTTTGCTCCAACGGAAGCCTGAACTTAGGTCCTGCCCTGAAGAGGGTCGAAAAGTGAGGGGGATGGGCGGAAAGGAAGACAGTGACTTAAAATAAATATTAGAGGTTCGGGACCCTCTGGGGAGGTCTGGGTGAGTAGGCGGGGTCGTGGTTTGATCATTATCATTACGATTATCTCCGCCCGTGGGGAATTGGACTGAATGAGCATTTGGGCACCCGGCTGGAAGAATCGGTTTCACCCCTCCGAGTTTCAGTTTTCCTGATTTAAGTGATAGTAATAATGCCACCTTTGCTTCAAAATATTAAGCAAACATCGCTAGCAAGTCTGCCGTCAGTTTTCCTGATTTAAGTGATAGTAATAATGCCACCTTTGCTTCAAAATATTAAGCAAACATCGCTAGCAAGTCTGCCGCCAAGAAACGCTCGCCATAAATGGAATTAGAGTTATGTCTGCCAAGAAAGTTCACCCCAGGCGTGGCCATTTCCTCTGCTTTTCTGTGCCTTTTCCCTCTAGGATATATTTGGCTGGTGGATGACTTTTGGCCTGCCGTGGCTTGTTAAAGCTTAGCCTGTTTTCTTGGCTGACATGGAGGGCTAATGAAATAGATTGATTAGAAAAGTGAAGAGACTCGAAGTCATTTAAGGAGCGGTGCTGTTTTAGGGGATCTCTTGGGTTTTGCGTTGTGTTGTCTTGGGCTTTCTCATCTGGAAAACGGAGCAGAGACTTTGGGTTTCCTTTTGACTCCAGACAACACACTGGCTCGAGCATTTACTGTAAATACAGCTTCTATATTTTATAGCTTTACCCATTCGCCCCATGGAATGAGGGGAGGTTGGGTTGCCATCATCTGGGAAATAATCTTTTTTTTTTTTTTCGAGACAGGGTTTCTCTGTGGCTTTGGAGCCTGTCCTGGAACTAGCTCTGTAGACCAGGCTGGCCTCGAACTCACAGAGATCCGCCCGCCTCTGCCTCCCGAGTGCTGGGATTAAAGGCGTGCGCCACCATCGCCCGGCTGGGAAATAATTTTATTGACTCTGAGAGACAGAATTTCGTGAGGAAGTCCAGCTCTCCACATCTAGGCATTCTCTCTCCCCCTAACGCATCTGGGCACTCTTGTGGAGCTGGTAACAGCTTGCCTTTCCAGTTTTCAGTGCTATTCCGTGAATCTATTTAAGACTATAAGATCTGGCCAGGTGGTGTGGCGTGCGCCATTGATCCCAGCACTCGGGAGGCAGAGGCAGAGGCAGATGGATCTCTTGAGTTCCAGGCCAGCCTGGTCTGCAGAACTAGTTCTGTACCAGTGAAGTTACATTTTCTAGTGAACAGTACAGGGCTGTAAATGGGACTGAGTGGAGCATTTTTGTATCTCCAAGTAATTTTACCTTATGAAAACTTAAAAAAAACCACCTCTTCCCCATGGGCTGAGAATTGATCCCAGGACTTTGCCTACTAGGCAAATGCTTACCACTGGGCTCTACACACACACACACACACACACACACACACAAACACACACACACACACACACACCATTTCAAGGCCTAAGGAGCCGTGAGAGGGCTCTGCATGAAGACGGTCATGGAGAGCTCAGCTGGACTTTGAGTATGAGTTGCCCTCTAACTTGGCTTCTTGGGCCATGTGTTTGTGGGCTGATAATCCTTGATTTGTAAGGGCCGTGCAGCACCTCCGTACCCCTCCTCACTGGAACGGGGCTGTTTGGATGACTGCCATCTTAAAGCACAGGACCTGCCCAATTTTTGTAGTTTGGGAAATTAGCATGACAGTGCAGCGCTCAAAGCCTACATAAAAAGACCTCATTAGCTTGGTTTTTGGCTGAAGGAGAAAACTTGCTCTGCCATCTTGCACTTTCGAAATCTCCTTTGAGAAGTACAGTTCAATCAGAAAAAAAATGAGGTTGGATTTTGGGAGCTGGCATTAAACTCAGTGGGGCTGAATATAATGCTGATGCTTAGGACTATAGGGTGGGAAGAGAAGTACTGCAGATGTTTGGATAACTTGATAAATATCATTAAAATGTTCTCCGGGAGTGATCCTTTCTCAGAGTTTGACCTGAGTTGATTGGAGGGGGGTTAGCCATTGCCAATCTCATTCTTTCTCTGTAGGGCCTGGAATAGCAATGTGTTTGTCTCCTCTGCAGACTGAGAAAGATGTCTTTAGTGGTCCTTGCTGCAGGAAGCATACCACTCAACAGTGTTGCCATTTCTCCTTGCAGCAAAAGGCTCTCAAAGTGAAGGACTCAAAGAACGTCAGCTATATGGAGCTGATTTCCATGGAAACGTCGTCCTCCTCTGATGACAGTTGTGACAGCTTTGCTTCCGATAATTTTGCAAACACAGTAAGTGCGGCCTGAGAATAAACAGAATTGAGTCTGCGATGCTCCAAATGCCCCAACATGCTTTGTGCGCGATTAAAACCGCTTGCTTTGCCTGCATTTCTGTACAGACGCTAGGAAAATATGGCATGCGCTGTAATTTCATCTCGCTCTTTGCTGTGGTTCTAGGTAGTAATTGTTGGAGGTAGATTAGCTGCTTGTTGTGTCCTTTTGAAATGTCGCCTAACCCAACAGGACTGATGACTCGCTGTAACAACTCAGAAATCATTTGTAAACCTCAAAAACGTTTTTCTTTGTAACAAAAGCCATTCTCTTGTAGTGCACTTGTAAATGTGATTTGCTCTCTGCACGGTTTATGGAAAATTGGTTCTTGAAAGAAGAAAAAAAAATCTACAACCACATTTATTTATTTCACAGAAACCTAAATTCAGGTCAGATATCAGTGGAGAACTGGCTAATGTTTTTTATGAGGGCTCTGATAATCTTCCTGCGGCTCTCCAAAGGGTGAGGTATGAGATGCATTGAGCCATTGTGGATTTTTGCAGAAACCAAGGCCAGATGTCGCTAACGAATTGGCCAGCATTTTTCATGCCGACTCTGATGATGAATCATTTTGCGGTTTTTCAGAGAGTGAGATACAGGATGGAATGGTGAGTTTGAGAAGTTCACCAGTATCAAGAAGTGAGGTGCATGCAGAGGCTGGAGAGATTTGCTCTTTGACCCTCCCATCCCCCCCCCCCATCATCACCCTCCCTCCAGCTCTCCTGTCAGTTCAGCTGCCAGACTTGTTCCCCTGATCAAATGCTTTCTTCGCTTCTTAAAGCCATGTTTACTCATATCCTCTTTGTAGGCCTTAGACTTTTTTTTTAAGGTTCCACAAATCTTGGAAATTTGTTCAACAAGGTTGGCTAGCCTCCCGATGGCTGTTAGCCTCAGATCTGGCCTAATCACAGGAAATGCATATGTCCTAGACTGCTTCCATCGGCACGTAGATGCAGGTACCCGGCCCAGTGCTGGCCCAGAGCTGACAAAGGCAGGTTCCATAGTTGTAGCTGTGCCTGCATCTTGAGAACTGCCAAGGACATCGTGTAGGTGATACCAAGTAGGGCCTCTGCCGCTTCTGTGTTTGTTTGCTCTCTGGTCTGCTTCGCCGGCCCGCATACGCTGGAGCGAGTGTAGCAGCCTTGGACTTTTCCCTAAGGAAGCGGGGTGTATATTACAACCACCTGCATGCTACTATCTTCACCGTCTCTGACAACTGTCCCCACAGGCCACCCATTGGGTGACACTGCTGTGAGGGACAGCACTGGCCCTGGGACTATTTTATCACCGTCCGTAACAATGCATGCTTCCCCTAATCAAAGACTTTCGTCCCAGTTGGTGGCTGGGGACAGTGTGCAGATCTGGGTGTGACCCATTTGTCTGTGGCCTGACTGTCCTAGGCAGTCCATTAACTCTCTGTAGGTATTAACTTGTGATGAAGAAAGTGGCGGCTGATTGAAAGTGCTAAGAATTCATGACAGTTTTGTTTCATGACCTCTGTCCGGGAACAATGAAAGCTGCCCATGGGGATCCTTAGTGGGTACTGCGCAGCAAACCCAGGGCCTTAGACACGCTAAACATAGACCCTGCCGCTGAACTACATCCACAGCCCATTCAGTTTTTCGAGGGGCTGGGGAGATGACTCTGCTTGCCATGTATAAATGCTTAGTGGGTGTAGTGGCTCATCTGTAATCCCAGCTTCTCAGAAGGCAGAGATAGGGTCGCTAGGGCAAGCTGGCTGGCAAGACATTCTTTATTTGCTTGTTTTTGAGACAGGATCTGGCAGTGTAGTGTAGAACTCGCTGTGTAGCTCAGGGTTCCTACATGAAGAGTTTACACACCCATACACAACCTACCATACTGTTGAACGAACCTGAAGTTTCAGTTGGGGAAGAGAAAAATCTTGAAATGGTCTGCACATAGTGATGTGCATTTTAATCACAATTAAAAATGAATTTGATATGGACAGTTTAGGAGATAATTTATTGCCATCGGAGGCATTGAAACCATGTTCGTGGGTGAGCATAGGTGCTCCTAGAGGACCTTATGAAAATGACTAAGGATTGGTTTTAAGGAAATGGGAAGAGGGCAGGAGGTTTTTTTTTTTTGGTTTTTCGAGACAGGGTTTCCCTGTGGCTTTGGAGCCTGTCCTGGAACTAGCTCTTTTAGACCAGGCTGGTCTCGAACTCACAGAGATCCATCTGCCTCTGCTTCCCGAGTGCTAGAATTAAAGGTGTGTGCCACTACCGCCCGAAGGAGTTTTCATGTTTTAAAAAATCAGAAGCATAGGTCTCAAGACTGTAAAGACAGTGTCTGAGACGAGCAACCGAGTGGAACTCTTCTCCGTTGTATTCATTTTCAAGTCTTGATTTGTTACCCATGATCCTTGCTGTCCACTTACGGCTGATTTGTCCTTGTCTTTTATTCCAAATGGATTTTTTTTTTTTTTGTTGTTGTTGGTTTTTTTTTTGAGACAGTGTTTCTCTACGTAGCTTTGACTGTCCTGGAACTCACTCTGTAGGCCAGGCTGTGTTCAAACTCATGGAGATCCACCTGCCTCTGCCTCCCTGAGTGCTGGGATTAAAGGCGTCTGCCACCGCTACCCGCCCCCCAAAAGGATTTTGTAGTGGTCTTTGGTTTCGCTTGTATGCCAGTCAGCAGGTCCTTACCAACTCCCTTTCTCTGGTTGACTAGAGACTGCAGTTGGACAGGGAAGGCTGCAGGACCCGAAGTCAGTGCCGTCCCTCGGGACCTCTCAGGGTAGCCATGAAGTTCCCAGCACGAAACCCGCGGGGGCCAGCCAACAAAAAAGCTGTCCCCTCAAAACCCCCTGAGAACTCTGCAAATGATTCCCATTCTGACTCTGAGGAAGAAGACGGTATGAACTTTCTGGAGAAGAGGGCTTTAAATATAAAGCAAAACAAAGCAATGGTAGGTGTTTGGATGCACCCGAAGGAACCCTTTCCGGCTTTTCTCTAAGCAGTTGAGTTTCTTCTACCGCTGTGTTTGCATGTAGCTGTGAAGACGTAATGATGTGTTTTGAATGTTTATATTTGTTTTTATTTACGTGGGGGAAGGGGCTCTGCTATGCGTGCAGTGCCCTTGGAGGCCAGAAGAGGGCATTTTGTATCCCCTGGAACTGGAGCTAAGCCTGGTTGTGCGTTAGCATGTTGGCGCTTGGAACTGAACCCGGGTCCTTGGCAAGAGCAAGTGCTTTTACTAAGTAGAAGGTTGAGGGATAGGCTAGTATTATTTCCACAAATTGCCTCTTGTCACCAGTTACAATTGCCGTTTACTTTCTCCCCCTTTAGCTTGCAAAGCTGATGTCAGAATTAGAAAGCTTCCCTGGCATATTCTCCGGAAGACATTCTCTCTCTGGTCACGGATCCAAAGGTGTAAGTGCTTCTTCCTGAACTCTTGTTTTGGACACGCCCAGAACAGATCTCTGAGATTTTAGAGTCTTGTTTTTGTATGGGGGGGGGTGTGGGGTCATTAGAAACAGCCCTTTTATTTTTTTCTTCTTTGGTTTTTCAAGACAGGGTTTCTCTGTAGCTTTGGAGCCTGTCCTGGAATTAACTCTTGTAGACCAGGCTGGCCCTGAACTCACAGAGATCTGCTTTGCCTCTGCCACCCTTGACCATGCCCCTTTTGATGGGTTCTCTCCATACTAGCAGCAAGGAAGATTGATAACTTGTTTCTGTGTACTCAAGCAGCATATTTTTTTCCTACATGCTATATGCAAAATAGGGTTTTTGCTTGTGTTTTGTTTTGTTTTTGTTTGCTTTTGATTTTTCAAGACAGGGTTTTTCTGTGTCATAGTCCTGGCTGTCCTGGAACTCACTTTGTAGACCAGGCTGGCCTCAAGCTCACTGAGATCCACCAGCCTCTGAGTGCTGGGATTAAAGGTGTGTGTGCGACCACCGCTTGGCTCAAAATCGGTCTTTTTAAGACATATTGAGGTAAAAGAAAGTACACAGAATTTCTTTGTCAAGTCATACCCTACTAAGAAGTGGATCTGTATTGTGTGTTTCCTTCACCAGTCAAAGTCCCCTAGAAGACGCACATTCCCAGGCGTGGCTTCCAGAAAGAACCCTGAACGGAGAGCCCGGCCTCTTACCAGGTCAAGGTCCCGGATCCTGGGGTCTTTGGGCGCTCTGCCCACAGAGGAGGAGGAGGAAGAAGAGGAAGAGGATAAATACATGCTAGTGAGGAGGAGGAAGTCCATGGATGGCTACATGAATGTGAGTCCTCCTCCATGATATCTCCTGTTTCCCCTCGGGAAGCTTAGCATTGAACACACAGCCTGAGGCCACTCCACGCCATCAACGCTACCTAAGCCATTAATGCTACGTAAGCGTCCTTCATTTTGTTCTCGGACAAGAGCCAGATTTTCAACTTCCCAATATTTGTAAGAATTGTTTCTACGCTTCCGGCTAGTTATCCTGACAGTAAATTATGCGGGCTGCCCCCTCTCTTCATGAGCCAGAAAGATTTCCCAGACTGAATTTCCTGTGAAAAGTTTTACACGAAGCATCTTGAGATTTAGGGCTACAGAGAGGAACTCGATTTCCTGCTTCTTCTGCAGGACGACGACATGCCCAGAAGCCGTCGCCCTGGATCCATGACCCTCCCGCATATAATCCGCCCTGTGGAAGAAGTTACCGAGGAAGAGATCAGGAACATCTGCAGCAACTCTCGGGAGAAGATCTACAACCGGTCGCTGGTGAGTGCCCCGGGGTTGTCCCCCTCCAGAGGACAGACAGCCCCTGTTTTAAGGGTGCCTGCCACACATGGTATATGTGTGGTCTGGACATTCAGCCCTGCACATTTTTTGTTTTTTTTATACAAGGGAAGAAGAGTTTTACAGTATGCCTGGAAAGTCTGCAGTAGGGTTATATCTTCTTAACATAGAAGTTGATTCGTGCAGCTTGGATTTACTGTGTACTGTTAGGGTGTGTGTATCGGTAGCTACTGGAATGCAATGGTGAGCCAAAGGGGTTTGTTGTTGTTGTTGTTCAAATGGATTTGGGAGAAGAAAAATGGATTTGGTGGCATTTTTTTTCCTGTGCTGGGGATCACACCCAGGACCTTGAGTGTGTTAAACACGTACTCTGGTCTGAGTCGTGTCTCCTCCTCACCCCAATAGTTCTGATGACACTACTATCGTCCCACCAATAGAGTGGGAAGCCTTGCTTGAGGTACTTATTTTCATATTTGTGTGTGCGGGTGCTAAGTGAACTTCAAAGATCGAGTTTCAGGTCCCTTATTAGAGTGTGGGTGTTCTTTGTGTCATTTTTTGTTTCGTTTTGTTTTTTCTCTGCAAACAGCAGGTTTTGCTTCTTCTCTCATCTGGTCCTCCTTTCAGGGTTCTACATGTCATCAGTGTCGCCAGAAAACCATTGACACCAAAACAAACTGCAGGAACCCAGACTGCTGGGGCATCCGGGGCCAGTTCTGTGGGCCCTGCCTTCGAAACCGCTATGGGGAAGAAGTCAAGGACGCTCTGCTGGACCCAGTAGGTGCTGGAAAAGATTGGGGGAGGGAATTGAACTCGCGGTGTCAGGAGTCCATGTTGTGGTTCTGCATGGATGTAACTGTCCAGAGAGCTCAGGGCTGCTGCTCATAGGTCGATTCTGTGTGTGTGTGTGTGTGTGTGTGTGTGTGTGTGTGTGTGTGTGTGTGTTTTACCAGGGCTCTAGAACCCAGGGCTTTACATACGCTAGACAAATGCTCTCATGCTGAGCCAGAAACTTGGATTCCTGTTTTATGACGTAGTTATTCATTAAAAAAAAAAGTCACAGGGTAAATGAGTTGATGCTGAGTACTTGAGTGGCTAAAGAAACGGAACCAATGGATGGAGGCGAAGGGATGCTTAGCCTCAGGGTGCTTTCCCACAATTCTTCAGAACTGGCACTGCCCGCCCTGCCGAGGAATTTGCAACTGCAGCTTCTGCCGCCAGCGGGATGGACGGTGCGCCACGGGAGTCCTCGTGTATTTAGCCAAGTTTCATGGCTTTGGGAATGTGCATGCTTACTTGAAAAGGTAACAGCCATGTGTTTTTCCTCTTTCATGTCTGAGTCTTGGTTGCATTTATGCGCCTTAATAAGATGATAGACGTCTGGAGAGAGGCTCTCTCGGGGCAGGTTAGCGGAAATGCGTCTTCAGTTGAGCAGGCCATGGGTATAACATAGGTTGGATGACTAGTACTCGTGTGTTGACAGTATATATGTTAGGGCTCCATTTTTTTTTTTTTTTTTTTAAGAAATAAATTTGACTTTCCAGAGCGAATTATTGGTTTAGAGCCATCTTGACATCTTCCTCTTTGCCCTTCACAGTCTGAAGCAGGAATTTGAAATGCAGGCCTGAAGATCCACTGCCTGCTCTCGGCTTCTCAATGCTGTCTTCTTGACGCTGTCGTTGATGGACGCCCATCGCCCTTAGAAGTCAGTCAGATTAATCTTGTGGGATTCACACTTGTTTCGGGACCTCATACCGCTAGTTACTCTTCAGCTACATGTAATTCCCCAAAGTTTGCCCTGGCCCCTACCTTGTAGCCTCCCCACTCCCACGGTCCTTTGCCACCACTTGAGTTCTTCTTAAAGTGGCAGTTTTCGAAAGCAGATTTGTTTTATTGGTGTTGAAATCGTCTCAGGACACACCAATAAACCCAAGCACTTAGGGGTCCAGTAGTGTTGGGAACAACAGTTCTGCTAGATTGCAGAGAACAAGTCCCTCCACTTGTTTGCACAGAATCGATGCTTGCTTAGCTAAGTCTTGCGTGCTGTCGGCTGACGTTTGAAATGGATCAGGCCGAGGCACAAACAAAGGTCTGGAAACAATGTGGGAAATTAGGTGATTGCTGGGAAGTGGAGTAGCACATTGAATGACTTTCTGGAAACACAGAACTCCTTTGTGTTGTGCTCAGCGTCCACCCTGTTGCAGTGGAGACTCGATTGCTGCTAAGATCGTCCCTAAGTTAGAGTGGTCCATCTATGCACAGTCTCCAAAGGTTTGTGGTAACGTGGTACCAGAATTACTTAAACTGCTGTAGAAGAAGCCTTCTAGGAAGAGAAGACGATCCGTCTCTGTGATGGGCCGATTGAAATCTTGCTGTGATTTCAGAAACTTAAATAGCTTCCTTTGGTTCCGGAAGTTTCCTGAAGAGGATTCCCCGGGGGTTGTGTCCAGGGTTTCCTTTAGATTCTAAACAGTTTTGTGACAGTGAGCGGTGACCTCTTAGAGATGGGTAGCAAGCTACCCCTGCCAGTTATGGGCAGATGCCGTGAGTCGCCCCCCGCCCCTTTCCTGTCGCTGTGTCCTGCTCTGTTTGTGATGCTCGCTGGGCCTTGAATCATTCGGTGTAAATACAGCTTTTGCTTTCTAATGCTTTTATACAAAGGTTTTTATTTTAATAATAAAACATTTTGTTTAAGCTTGTGTGTTTATTTTTGCTTTTTAAAAATCAGTATTATTGTACTTAGTCCCCTTCTCCCCTTGTGTTTTGAAAGGTCATTTCTGCCTCTTCTGTAGTAATATGGGGCGGCAGGGCTGCGTCCCCCACACCCGGCCGCCCACATGGCTAGCTTATGCCCCAAAATAATTACACAGACACTGTATTCTTTTAAGCACTGCTTGGCCCTTTAGCTCTAGCACTTACAGGCTAATTCTCACATCCTGATCAACTCATCTCTAATAATCTGTGAGAACCGGTCTTACCGGGAAGATTCTAGGCTAGTCCATCCTGGGTCGGAGCTTCATCCCAGGAGCGGGGCATGGCGTCTCTCTCAGGCGTCTGCTCCCGAGAGAGCTGTGGAGTCTGACCTCACTTCCTCTTCCTCCCAGCGTTTTGTTCTGTTTACTCCACCTACCTATGTCCTAACCAATAAAATGGGCCAATGACCTTCCTCCATCACTCTTCTACTAAAACTTTTCTCTCTTGGCTTAAGTTTCTGATGCCCACAGGCAGCTCTTTTGAGCAGGGTCCCATTTGATGATGTGACTCTTAGCAGAACACGCGTGTGCTTGGCAAGTCTTGTATTGTTTTCCTTTGTTGTTCACAGGACTTGCCCACTTTTATCAAATACTTAATAAATGTGTTCCACGCCTTGAGTTTTCAAGACTGTAAGAACCAGAACATACAAAAGACAGAAACACTAGAGCAGGTTGTGATGGTACGAGGAATCCCAGTTCACAGGAGACTGGAGCAGGAGGATTGCAAATTTGAGGCAAGCCTCAAAAAAAATTATTATTTTTTAGAGAAGATTTTGTTTTATATGTTGCATGGGTTTCTTCTGCATATGTGCAGTTGCCCTCGGGAGGTCAGAAGAGGATGTGGGATCCCATGGAGCTTGAATCACAGGAAGTGTGACCCGCCAGATGCGGATGCTGGGAACGGAGTCCATGGAGAGCAGCAAGCACTCCAATTGCTGAGCCATCCAGACTCCTGTACAGGGCTCTTATAACTAAATTTCTAACCAGGATTAGTGAATTACAGTCTGCATGCACATCCTACTGCGTATACCTTTTTACATTTGTAAAAGTTTTTTCATTTTCAAAGCACTCGGCAGGCTGGAGAGATGGCATTTGTTGCTCTTGGAAGGACCCATGTGTTAGTTCACAACCATTCATAGCCCCGGTTCCAGGGGATACAATGCCCTCTTGACTTGTCAAGCCTGGCTCTTTATAGGGGGAAAATACTATATCGTAAACAGTGGTAAACTATGGAGGTACACTCTTAGGTAGGACAAGACTGAAAGTCATTCACTTGGTACATGGATCCAGAAGTCAGCCACATTTTAGAAACCAAGTTGTAATTCAACCCCATTGAGTGTAATTGAGGAGCTTAAATGCCAGAGCTCATATAAGTTGGTTTATTTGACATTTGTGACTGGTGATTGAATGAACCCAGGGTCTTCCACTGAGTTATACCCCCAGCTGATTTGCATAGCTTTTGATGTTAGTGTAAAGGATACGGTTTTTCCTTTAAAATGATCAGCAGTTGTTCACTGTGACACCTTATCTTAAAGGAGCTATGTAGTCTACCAGAGGGACTATTGAAAAAAGCCTACAAGTGACGTCCCTTGTGGAGTGAAGGGAGGCAGCACTGTTTTCTCCTCAGGCAGTTCTGCCATAGATGCTCCCCTCCCAGTTTTTGAGAAAGGAACTTGTATGTTGCCCAGGCTTCTCCTAAACCCCAGGAAAGGAAACTGTACTTGCCCTAGCAGGAACAAGAAAGCCTAGGAAGATGGTTAAGTTCAGTCTGGAGAGGAAGGCTGGGTGCCCAGCCCAATCTGGCTGAGCAAATGCTGAGAGGAAGTGGAGGCTCCTGAGGACCAGGGGCCTTGCTGGAGAGAAAGGCTCAGGACGAGGGTGTGGAATGATGGCTACCCAGGGTGATGGATTATTCGCATGGGTGACGGAAACCAGGAGCTTTCGCTGCATGCCTGCATGAATGAAAACCCTCTAAGGGGGAGCCAAAGGCACTAGGTGCTAGTTGAATGGTGAAGACATTAGCAGGAAAGAACAAGGAACAAAAGCAAAAGCCACTCACTTGACTTTTATTCAATCTCCTCAGGAATTTGGGGTTTTGCAATACTGTGGTGTCCCGCTGAGGGCTTCCAGACATCCAGCAGAAACTGGGGAAAGTGAGGTAGTCAGCCCGAATTCCCAATTGAGCTTTCTATTGCGGATGAGTTTCCAGGGTCCAGCCTCCCAGGCCCCCTGTAGGCATTCTTATACTTTGGGATAAACAATAGTCACATTGCTGGAAATGCTTCAATTTTAAGCCAGGTGGTGGTGGCGCACACCTTTAATCCCAGCACTCGGGAGCAGAGACAGGCAGATATCTGTGAGTTCGAGGTCAGCCTGGTCTGTAAAGTGAGTTCCAGGACAGGCTCCAAAGCTATAGAGAAACCCTGTTTTTAAAAAGAAAAAAATTAATTTTGCTGGGCAGTGGTGCACACCTTTAAATCCCAGCACTTAGGAGGCAGAGGCAGGTGGAGCTCTGAGTTTGAGGCCAACCTAGTCTATAGAGTGAGTTCCAAGATAGCCGGGGCTACAAAGAAAACCACTGTCCTGAAGCAAAAAAAGCTTTAATTTGGGGTGGGGGCAGGAGCTGGAGTGATGGCTCGGCAGCTAAGAGCACTGGCTGCTCTTCCAAAGGACCCGCCCCCCCCCCAACAGTGAACTTGGAAACCTTTTCTCCTCTAAATCGCCTTTCCCAGAATATTTTATCACTGCAAATAATGAAATGAAGATAACATGAGCATGTAAGTATTCATGTATCTACTTAAGAGATATTTATAATGACTTATTGCAACGTATCCTCCCAGAAGCATGATCTCCAAACCATGAATATTGTGGCAGAGCAATGTGACTTTGTTTGGGTTCCTAGGAGTGGTAAGTCAGCCACTGTGTGCAGTTTGTTTGTTTTGCTTTGCTTTTTGTTAAACCCACTTGGTCTTGAACTCCTGATCCTCCTTCCTAGGATTGCAGATGTTCACAACTATGCCTGCCCAGATCTACCTGTGTTTCTCTAACCTCGTGCCTGCCGGATACAGCGTGTCTTCACTGTTGCCGGCTGAGCCCTTTCTTCAGCCTCCTATCATATTCTTTGAAGAATAGAAACTGCACTTATCTCAGCCACACACACTGTTAAAGGAGGAACGCACAGTGCTTGCCGCCAAAGCTGACGACCTGAATCTGAGCCCCAGAACCCACATGGTGGAAAGAAAGACCCCCGAGTTGTCCTCCAAACCTCCATACATGTGCCGTGGGAAGCATTGACATATACACACAAGTTAATTAAAAAATAATGCCGTAGAAAGAATCCTGGAGTAATACTCAAATAGTGTTTGAACATATAATTAAAAGTTCCAGAGAAATACAATCTGGAAAATGCTTTCCTCGGCCACACAGAAGTTGGCGGTGTGAGGTCATGACAAACCTGCCCTGTTCCCTTTCCTCACTTGCTGACAGTAACAGGAGTCCATATTTTTTTTGCTTTCTCTCGTTTTTGTTTGTTTGCCCGTATTTTAATAGACCGGTCCTCAAGTTTTTCTTCCAAGTTGAGTAGCTGTTCTGTTGCTTCTCAATGACCACCACTGTGGTCAGAAAGCAGAAACCGTCTCCGGAGCTTGCCTGGGCTTCGAAGACATGACCATTTTGAGTCCTCTGGTGCTTAGAGAGGAAATATGTAAATAAAATTCCTTTATGCAAATGCTTCCAGCAACTCTCATTGCGAGCCAGATTCTTGTAAATCACGATAAACAGATGCTACTGAGCTAAATGACTAAGTGAGATTATGGAGATAGAGCCTATTTATCTTATTCAGTGTTGGGGAGGGAGAAGAAGATATTAACTAAATTTTCTCAGCCTGCATGATGATTAGGGTAGACACCAAGAACTCTATTAATTGATTTTAGCTGGCACAATGAGGGGACTAACCCACTGGAGGGCTACCCTGAATGGTAGAGCTTCTGTGGTAATTTAGTTTGACCATAGAA